AAAAAAGACAGCAAAAAAACCCCAAAAACAAACAAAAAAAATTGTGCCAATAAAACTGTTGGGAAGGAGAAAAAAAAAGACAAGGGTAAAGAACAAACCAAGCATACAAATGAGAAAATGGGACGACACAGGGGAAAATGTTATTACCTGAGTGAAATTTTATAGATTAAAATCTTCAAGATGGAATCGTTTCTAACAATAATGAGGTTCAAAATATGGTTGAAAATCAAATGGCGAGAAGGGACTACAGAAGAAAGCACAGGGCTATGCAGCTGTTAGGCAGCAATCGTGCATGACTGGGAAACTAGGCAAACCAAGCCACTGCCATCCAGCTCATGGCAACCTGCAGCACGGAAGCAAACTGCTTCCTCACGGTTCTGAGACTATCAATCACACTAATTTTCTCCTACAGAACGACTTGTGTGTTTGAACCACTGACCTTGCAGTCAGCCACCCAACACTTAACTCACTAAGCTACCAGGGCTCGTCCTTCATGATTGGAGAAGATATAATTAAGGTAAGGAGAGAAAAAGAAAAAAAATTTAAGGCAAAAAGCGATGTGTTGGAGGTAGACAACTCTGAACAATGGAATAGAATGGATTTTAAAGAAGTTTGTCAAATGAAGGTAGGAAGAAACAGAATGAAGAAACTTTTTGGCTGGGCAGAGTTTGAAAGGATATTTTATTGGCAGAATAAAGTGACTGTCAGTGACAGTAAGCATTCACAAATAAAATTTAAAGGCATATTTACAATCAATCAGGGATCAGAAAGGCCCCAACAGAAGAAGCCAGCAAAATCATGGAGGTAACGGAGTATTGTTCAGTGAAAGCTTTTTGAACTTCTCATCTTTAAAGTATTACTTTTAGAAAGCATACAATTTAACATTTTAAACATGAATATAGGAAAATAAAACAGCCAGTTCTATTTGCTTTATTACTTTAAGGGACACCTGATATTTTATTAGGTACAATAAAGACCTGAATCAAGTTGGCCTAGAGTTAATACCTGGTATGTGTGAATATTACATTCTTATTTAATCCTCAATAACTTATTTGATAGGTACAATGACCTCCTTTTGAATGCATAAACTGCAGCTGAAGAAGTAAGTAACTTTCTCAAGGTTTCACAGTGATTCAGCAAAAAAAATTGCACGCGAAATTTGATCTGATATACGCCAAAACCCTTAAGCCTACCACTTCACTCTCCCTCTTTCTCTATATTTATATAAAGCTTTTTCCTTTTCAGACCACATCCTATAAATCACGGCATCTAGGAAACCAAGCTGATATCATTTACCAGATGCTGGTTGATTCACTGTAGCCCACTACAGCATGGCAGCCTAAAGCCTTAGCATGTGATTTTATTTCTTGTCTGATTTCAGCCCACCACGCATCTCGAGTTTCTGGTTCATCTGAAAAATAAATATTAATTCAGTTCACTACTCAATAGCACATTGTCTACATGAACAAAGTATCTTTCAAATGAACATACTCCAGGGAGTAACAGAGTACAGTTCTGTAAAAGCATTTTGAACTTCTGTTCTTTAAGATATTATTTCTAGAAAGCATACGACTTAACATTTTAAACATGACTACAGGAAAATAAAACACCTAGTTCTATTTGCTTTATTACTTTAGGGGACATCTGATACTGTATTAGGTACAACTTAAAATGTTTTAGTTTCCAGATTCCAATCATAAACTGACTAACAGGAATGTTGTGTCATATTCATACATTTAACTTAAATCTAGATTTATATCCTAGTGCCTTTTTTTTACATAACTCAGTATATGCTGGGTTCTCTCTAAGGCAAAGGTTTGTTCATGTTAAAAGAGATAAATTCATCATTAGTCATTCTCCTAATGAGGTGTGACTCTAAAGCAAAATTATAAGAAAAAGAGTAGCCACTCCAAAAACGGAAAAGATAAAATTAAAAAAATACACATTTGATCCATATATGCAAGGGCAAGTTTTAGATAAAATATTATAAACTCCCTGGATGACTAGAATTAAGAAAATGGCTTAGAATCACAGAATTGTATTTTATCACCATAGGGAAGTCCAATAACTGCGTGCAATGAAACAAGAAATAGAGCATCTGTCGCATGTACTTCCTAATCACTTGCATTTAGCTGCAAGCTATTAGTGACAGCAGCTGCAAATTATAGTGACTTTTTATATGCAGAGATGTTAAAAACAGAAACTATCTATAATCAGCATGTCCCGGATTGTTTCTTTTTACAGCCACTTCCATTTGGGAGCAATCTGAGATGAAAATCATCATCATCATCATCATCATCATCATCCACTCTAAATAGAACCCTAAGCTCTTATTGTAAATTTCCCACATAAAAAGCATGATTAAAACTTGAAAAGAAAAATCAAACAAACCAAATACTTTGTATTCGAGTTGCAGTATCTATCCAATTTTCAAAATATGTTTTTCCAAATAAGTAGAACAAATAGAGTTATACTCACTATGAAAATGCTGAAGACAGCAAAGTAAAGAAAGGTTAAGAGGCTTGTCATAGCTCACATTAATGTGATGTGTTTGGTCTCCTCCACAGGGAGGGTCAGCGAAAGGGGAAAGGGGAAGAGAAAAGCCAGAACTACAAGTGATGCCAGCCAGTCCTGGAGTTAAGGTTTGGGATCCAAGACAGAGCTACCCTAGAGCTTTCCTTCAGAAGGAAACAAAGATGCAGACTCCAGGAAACTGGGGGAAAGATCAAAGGGTGAGAAAAATAAAGAGAAGAGGAAGAGAAATAGAAAAGACTACAATATGGCATTATCAATCAATATTGCGAATTAAATGTGCAAGACAATTAGGTGGCCCTTTATGTATATATACTATTGCTTTAGATAATTTCTTTATTCCTATCTGAAGTGTACACATTAACACAGATACACTTTCAAACCCTTCTTTTTTTTCCTCTAAGGTAAATGTGTGAACCAATTTAAATGTCCTTTGAACGCCTTCCTTTCCTAAAGACGAATGTTTACTGCTTACTAATCAGATAGCTGGCCCAGCCTATCAAATTATTTTTGATTTTGCAAAGTAAGATAGCAAAATGAACAGTAGAACTACACCTAAGTTCCTGAAAAAAAAGTTGTGTGAAGTTTAGCTTTTCTCTAGAAGCTACTATGTATTTCTTAAACCATTCTGAAAGTTTAAAGTATTACTTACTAAAGCAGAGAATTCTTGCACAGAACAGATTTTTTGATACTGGATTTACCTACATCTGTACCACAAGTAATACATGGTAGCTTAGGTTTTCTGTTTCAATACTGAAAATCTTAGGCAGTAATTCATAAGATTGCTTTAAAAGTTAATGAGAAATGGAGGAAGCTAGTTATTTTAAATTCAAATGTAATGATGTAGTAATGGCCAGTATGTCTAAATGGAAATGTATAATTACTATGAAATACATGTAACCACATAGAATACAAAGTTTATTTACATCAAACTTACCTTGGGATAACACATAAAATAATCAGATAATCAAACCAAACACTATGAAAGAAGTGACTGATTAAAAACAAAACAAAACACAACTGAATGCAGCGCAAGTGTAGCATTCATATTCTTCTGACAAGTTCACAAGCAGCCTTTATTCTGACACAGGAGCCACACATTTGCACATGGGGATGCCATTGTTGTATGTAATAAAGTATTTACAAGTTTAATAAAACACTAAGGAGTTACATAACATGGGAGCTAAAAAAAGCAAATGGCATATGTCCACACTCCAAATAATTTCTTGAATTTAGTTTTTGGTTAAAGCAAAAGCTCAGAGAAGGGAAGGGTTTGCAAAGCAAATTCAGCAGACAGGAGCCAATAACAGTGGATATTTTGGCGCATGCTTGGATCAGGTGACAGTACAGACTGAAAACTATGGCAGCTCACTGAAATGGGTACAGAAAGTAATGGCCCTAGATTCTAGGTGAAAGCAAGGCAAGCGTACAGTAGGGAGTACTATCAGGAACTAGTCATTGTCTTAACAATTACCTAAAAGTGTAAAGAAGAAACTGATGGATACTAAATTTAAGGGTTAAAGTAGAATTAAGATGATCAATTTATGTAATATTTAAGTGAAGTTAAACTTGTCCTCAAAGCCTATGTTATATGCTAACACCAGAGAAGAGCCAGGTAACATTAAAACAGGGTTAGGATTCAGTCTAATTTGCTACAAACAAAAATTCAGAAATTTCATAGCATTTAATCCTTATAATGGCATTTTTAAGAAATACCTAGAAAAAAATCAATTGACTTTAAATACCATGCTCTTCTCAGTAATTTATGGAATCATTTGTAATTATTTTAAAATATATTTAAAAAACTTAAAATTTTAAATTATACTTTGTACAACGTTATGTTTTTCTTCTGAGTCAAAACTCTTCATAGATAATATCACAAATCTTTTAATATATCCTTTAACTAGAGGCATAGGAATAAACTGACAGTTAAAATTCATTCTTACTACTATTGCTTTCTTAAAGCATAGTCATAGCTTGATATCTTGCCATCTTTTTAATAACCTATTATCATCATGTTTCTAAAGAGCAGATGAAACTGATAAAGGTTCTGAAAATGACAGTAAAAGTTTATATCTAAGAAAACAAAAATAGTGAACAACTTAACATAGTACCTTTATTAAATACTATCTATCATTTTGAGACCTTAAGTAATCTAAACTTGCAACTAAAACATATTTTTCATCTGACTTGTTAAATTCATTTCATAGGTCTGAGAGAAAATAATTCCATCCTTAAAAATCCTTTAAACTGGATGATAGCAAAAAGGAAATGGACATTTATTCACCATAATACAGTGATTCTCAACCTGTGGGTCACAACCCCTTTGGGGGTCAAACGACCCTTTCACAGGGGTTGCCTGATTCATAATAGTAGCAAAATTATAGTCATGAAGTAGCAACAAAAATAATTTTACGGTTGGGGGTCACCACAACATGAGGAACTGTATTAAAGGGTCGCAGCATTAGGAGAGTTGAGAACCACTGCCTTAATACTTAAATATTTAAGAAGAGATAAAGTGTTCGTTTGGGTAACATAAGATTATAAAAATTCAATGATACTTTGTCTTGTTAATGAACAGCATAAAAAGCTACATTATCAAATATCTGAAAGTAATATTCCAATTGATATCAACCTTAGAAGAAGATATGTTTCCCCTAATGATGTAGCTATTACAGAATTCAGGTTCAAGGAAGCATATAATCTCAAAGGACGTACGGATTTAGTACTGAGCAAGGAAGAAGAGTCTTATTAAAGGGGAAGTGGTATGCTTAATACAGAGCAAACATGAAGAATGTAGCAACCTGGGATGTTAGGATGCTAGCTAGGCTACAATCCGTGTTGTAAAAAAAGTCAGACATGTAATCTATTCCATAATTACAAAATGTCATTCTTTAAATATATATAAAATATATTTAAATAACTGAATATTCATCATTCAAATATTATTGGTAACAAATAGCACACATCATACATACTTATGTTTTCATCAACTCCATATTCTACTTTTTAAAAAGCATTAAAATAATAAAACTCAAAAAACTGCTGAACTATTTTAAGTTTAATCTCACATCTGCTTATAAGCATCTATTAGATACAGAGAAAAGAATAATTGGGGAGATGATCAGAATTCAATTACCAAGACAACTATAGTTATTTATCTAACTATAGAACTATTTATCTCTCCTTCCCCCCCCCTCTCTTTTACGCACGCGCGCGCGCGCACACACACACACACACACACACACCAAAACAGTGTAATAAATAACCCAGATTGGGTGTAAGACCAAGATGTTTGCCATGCTCATCAATGATGTCCCAGTACCCAGCATTGTACTTGGTGCATAGCAAGCACTCCATGAAGATAAATTAAATAAGACTAAAATAAGAAAGGAAAAAAAGTTGATTTGGCTGAGCAGGCTGATATGTCTTTACACATTAACTATTTGGTTAAATTAAATATTTCAAAATAATTATATGTATTAGCTTTCTTGATCGTGGCTGTTCATTGTTGCTATTAAAATAAGGTTAATCTTCTAAAGAATTATATTTCTGACGGCTTAACAGAAGGAGTAATGCCCTACTTCAGACCACTCCCTGGCACTCACTGACCCTGTCTTTTCAAGGTCCTGGAGTCCATTCCGACTCATGGCAACACAATGAAATACTGTCTCATCCTATAAAATTATATAAGACCGAAAAACCCCAAGGGTATATCTTACGTTCCACAATTTCTTTGTCTAAAGCAAAGAAATCTCAATAACAAATAAAAATGTATCCAGCTTTAAGCAAGTTTTATTAAATTGGGATTTAAAACACTAAAATTTAAAAATATTGACTTGGGGCCATGGGGAAAAATAAAAATACTAACTAGGCTTG